CCTCTTGGCTGATGATCTTGATTATTTTCATGAGAAAACAGAAGCAATCAGAAAAGTTCTTCTATAAGTAGACTCCACCATATACACTCACCCACCTGCCTCTGTGTGTTCCTCCTTCCTGTACCGTGGATGCTGCTTAAGGCCACTTGTGCACTAGAGCCCAATAAGTTCCTCTTTTCTCTCCTGCATCATCAAAATTTCTCTATTCTATTATTCCTAGAAGTATAAGAAAATGCTTTAACTTCTTCTGTCTTTAAGAAACCTTCTCTTAGAGCCGAGCAAAACTCCCACTTAACAATGAGCATCCCCAGCTCCCAGATCTTGGTTTCTGGATATCTTTCCCACAAAAAGAAATCAGGGCTGTTTGGAAAAATGGCTGACTCTGGAGCCGGGTTTGGGAAGGTGAATCTTGAACATGTTATGCCAGAAAGTAAGTAAGTAAGCAAAAAGAATGATGGGGATTTGTCAAAAAACAACCCAGAAACCAAGCCAGTTTGAAGGAGCTCCTACTGGTCAAATCATGGACAGTTCAAGCACCAAAGTAAATAATGACTGTAATGGATTACAAACCATTGAATAAAATAGGAAACCATGAGTCCATACTGATATAAATAAATGCATAAATAGAAAGTTTGATGAAAGTGAAATATGTATATTGTTTCAAAGTACTTCCCCTCTGTGTTCTGTGCTATTTCTGCTTCATTTCCTCTGACCTCTAAAGAGATGGAGCATCCTAGGGCTTAGGACTCAGACCGTTCCTCTTCTTATTCCCTTGGTGATCTCATCTAGTCCCCTGGCTTTAAATAACAGCCATATGCTGATGACTTACCAACTTTTATCTCCAGCCCAGGCTTCTTTTCGGAACTCTGGACTTCTATAACAAACTGCTTACTCCATGTTTTCCATTGGATGTTGGCCAAGACATCTCAAATTTAACACGTCCAATACTTAACTCCTGATCTTCCCTCCCCCAAGTCTGCTCTATCAGTCTTTTCTGTATCAGTTAATAGCAACTTCTCCCTACCAATTGCTCCAAAAACCTTGGCGTTATCCTTGACTCTTCTCTTTCCCTCACGTCAATTACATTAGCAAATCCCTCTTGCTGTTTACAGTGTCTCAGCCCTGGAACAGGCCTCAGTTTCCCAATGAAGTTACCCAAGAGCCTTCCTTACTGGTCTCCTCCCATACTTGCCCTCCACAGTTTATTCTTATCACTCTCTAATTGCTCCCCATTTCACTCTGAGTAAAAGCCAAAGTCCCTACTTTGGGCTCCAAGATTCTACATGATCACTTACTCCTGCTAAATTGGCTAAAAATACAAAGTTTGATAATACTCAATGATGTGGAAGATAGTTCCACTTACATATTGTTGAAGTACAATGTGTTAATATCTATAAAAAATGTAAGCATATTCTATGACCCAGCAATTCCACTTACGGGAATTTATCTTATAGAAATACACAAGTGGCCAAAGACACACATGCAATGCTCACTGTAGCATTGTCTGTCATGGCAAAACATAGAAACATGGCCCCTGTACAATGGAAGACCGTGTATGATAATGGAGATTCGTGGGCTTCAGAAAGATCTCCAAGATGTATTAGTAAGTGCTAAAAGAAGCAGATCAGTAATTACTGAATAATCCCATTGCCTAATAAAAAGTCAACATACACATGCTCTGTGTGTCTGTGCATTTAAAAAGTGGGTTGGCTATACTACAATAAAATCACATTCCTTAAAAAAATTGATTTGGAAGAATGCATAATGACATGTAAGCAAATTCTCTCACACCAAAGGAAATTAAAAAAAAAAAAAGTGAGTTAAAAGATTACCAGTCAACTTGGGTGATGTCTGGGGAGTGAGACTGGGAGCTGGAGTATGAAAGACTCTTCCTCTTCCTTGTATAATATTTTATTCAATTTCAATTATTCTTTTTAACCATGAATATTCACTTTTATAATCTCTATGTCTTTAATAATAAACAAAAAAGGGTTTAAAAAAGTTCTTTCCTACCTCAAGATCATAGAAATGCTCACTTATATTTACTTTAAATTCACATGTCTTAAAAAAAGTAATTATATACTTGAATTAACTTACCCAGGACTATCAAATGGGGGTATGTATCTGGAGTTTGCTGCAGAGAATAATGGTTTCTTTTTTTAAACTTTTTTTGATATAGAAAACAAAACATACTATTTGTAGAAAAATCTAGAAAAGGGTAAAGAAGAAAATAAAAACCACTGGCAACCCACAGAAAGCCTCAGTTAACATTCTGAGACATTTCCTGCAAGAGGCAGGGTGCCCAGTGAGGTGGAACCTAGAACCTTTTCAAAGTCTCTTGCCGGTGCCTTGATGCCACTTTTGGGGGTCAAGGTGGGGCCTGGCAGTTTTGGCTTCTTTTCTTTGGGAAATCTAGAAGACCAGGGTCAGTCACAGTAGTAGGGCAAACATTCACCCATTTACTGTTCACGGAGAAAACCGTAAGGTCACCTTAATCCTGCAAACAGATGTTGCAAACTGAGATATGAAGTATTCTGCCCTCATGAGGATCGAGCGGTCTTTCAGCCAAACCCTTCCTTGAAGTGCAAGGAGAAATCGGTTTCCTGGGAGTGTCTTGAACTCACCTGTTATGTCCCCCTCCACAAAATTACTTCAGATGGAATATTCAGTGTGTGTGGAGGGCACACACAGTTATGTGAGCTGTGGGTGGCTTGTCTGGGCCCAGTACCCCTCAGTAGCACACTGGGGGACTCAGGAATGAGAGCTGCCCACCTTGGAACGGTCTGTCAGGAAAGGCTGGCTCCAGGTACCAGGTGTGGCTGATGCTACTCTGCTCTGGTGACTGACAGTGAGATACTTCCCCAGGTAGTCCACGCTGCCCCGGGGCCCATGGTGCCACTACGTGTTTGCAGACACTGCAGGACAGAGCCTGGCAGCAGACCGAGCAGACCCTGCTGACAGAAACATGCATAGACCCTTGGTCTCAGCTTGTAAGAGGTGGAGTCCAGAGTCGAACCCACCATGCCAAGTTCCTTCCCGGAAAAGAAATAGGATAAATATCCTGTGGGCAAACAATTCAGTTCTAACAAGGAAATGAGGTAATCCATCAGGTTCAAATAGTTTCAGAAAAAGGCTTGAGAAACCAAGAAATGAAAAGTTAAGAGAAGGATGTAGACTTCTCTGAGCCTGCTTGGCAAGAGGCGAGATCTACAGCTTGGCAATAACATCCTTAAGCCCATAAAAGCTGAATGGACAGTGAGATAAATACCTGGAAATAGAAGACAGAAGTAAGAAAATGGGATCTTGACATTTGAAGAAAATCAAGACATCTGACTTGACCCTTCTCCGTGTCTTGTTAATTTCCCCAGTGATGAAATCAACTAAGGGAAACAGGAGGGAGATCAGCCAGACCGGGGGAGGGGTGGGAACAGCAGAGAGCTACGGGGAAAGCTGGTCTGGCCCCACTTCCCAATTTTCCATAGATAAGGAAAACCAAGACTGGGAGAAGGGATGTAACTTTCCCCACGAAACCCGACTCAATGGCTAAGACTCTTGACTCCCAGTCTAGTGTCCTCAAGCTCTGTCCACGAGGTGTGAACCAAGGACAAAAAGGAAGAGGAAATTAAAATCCTGGCATTGGAAAGCAAAGCTACACACCAGAAAAGAATCACTCCCGCCAGGCTCCATTTCTTCTCAGCCTTGGAAAACCACTGAACGTTTCTGAGCCTCGATGTCTTCATCTGTGAAATGAGAATGCTGCTGCTTCCTCCTGCAAGGCTAGGGTGCAGGTTAACTATCAGGAGGTCGGCAACACGGTAGATATTTAACAGGGAGTTAAATGCTCTCTAGAGCATTCACAGGGCTGGAAAGACACTGCTGGAAGGAGCTAGGATAAAGGAGGCGCTGACGTCTTCCTTGCCCCCAATCTCCCCTGGGCTGGTCAGAGCACAGGACGGTGTCCAGTGGTATAACCAAGTTGTGAATGGGCCCAGCACTACTCCTTATCCAGGAACTCTTGACTTTGGCTCGGCAAGCCTGTGGTGTCAACAGACCAGGTATTCATTACAGAGCCACCTACCTCCATGACAAAATGTCCAGGGTCTCGGTCACAAGGCCGGGGGTGTTAAGCATGTACGATGCCCAGGTGGCCCCCAGACAGCATGCCAGGGGAAGTAGCAGGTGCAGACTATGACAGGTGGGCACTCTGGGCAAGTTATCCTGCATCCTTCCCAGGCCCAACTTGGCTGGCCAGTGTGAGGTGGGCTGGTGCCACCTGGTTCACTTTTAAGTCACTGCCCAGTTCCATGCGCAACAGGAAATCCATGGGCTAGAGAGCCATGACCACCCCCACAGCCTTCTCATGTCACCTGGAGGGCCCGAAATAACTCCTAGAAGCCTAGATCCTTCTGCACAGCCTTCTTCCTGGCCTCCCCATCCTGAAGTGAGAATCTGAGAGCCAGAGGAACTTCTGGTTGAAATCTGAGGTAGAAATAGGGGCAAGAAGACTTGGGAAAAGCCCAAGTCTAAGGCGAGATCAGAAGGTGGCAAGTTTGAGACCCGTTTGTGCTTCCCTTTGTAGTAACAGGAGGCTGCAGACACAACTCTGTATACCCTCTGGCTCCTGAGGTTCAGAGTTTGCACAACCTACATGATTTGGTATGTCCAGGGTTTGAGTGGGTGTCCACAGCCACCCCACCCCACCCCCACCGAGGGGCAGCCCAAGCCTTCTGCCCTGATCAAGCCGTGGGGCAGCAGCATCTCCACACCCCCAAGCGCCATCTAGGCCTAAACACGCCCCACTTCCCCAACCCTGAGTTACCTTCTCAGGCGACGCCAGCCAACGACCCTAGTGGTGGGGGCTGCCCCATGCCCCTGGTGGTGGGGGGCTGTCCCACAAGGGTACCTGGGCAGAGTCCAGGTCCCTAGAGTCCCACACCCTGGTGCCCACACAGTCTCCACCCACCTGTCCATCCCTGAGTCCTCCCACAGAACAAGTCGAATCAGGGGCAGGGAGAGGCCTCCACGTTTTATTAGGGATACGGCAGAAGTAGAGGCTGGAAGCAGAGCAGCCGCAATTTTAACGACAGATAAATTAACCGCAGCGCGGGGATGAGGGATGGGGACTGGGCCAGGCGCTTTAATAAAAAATAAAAAATAAAAGATAAAAAATAAGAAGACAGACAAATGGACCCCAAAGAACTGGGGCGGGGGAGGGCAGCACCATCCAGACAGCAGGGAGGACCAGGGCAGACAGAGAAAGAAGGCAACTTGACCCTTTGCCCCTAAACTCCACCAGCATGGGGCTTCTGGGCTGGCCCTGCAGGGCCTCCGGGGCAGGGGAGCCGCCAGAGCGGGCGGAGATGGCACGGCCGGTGGGCAGGAAGCCCAGCACCACAAGATGGCTCAGCCTGAAGTGGGAGCTGGGGGCCAGGACACAGCAGCCTTGAACCCCCAGTCTCTCCAAGGAAGAGCCTTATTCTGGGTGAGAGAAGGGACCAAGGGTGGGGTCTCTCCCTGAGCTGAGCACGGTCATCTCCTCCACAGCAGCGGGGGGCAGTGGGGTGTGCCGGGGACCCCCTTTCACCTTCCTGTCCATCTGCCTCCTTGGTCCCTTCTGGGAGAAGCCTCCAGGGCCCCAAAGGGGCGGGTGCGAGGAGAGCCGGTCCAGTCTGTGGTTGCCAACTCCAGAGAGGGCCCATGTCCCCGCGCAGCCCTTCAGCCCTGACTCCCGCAGGAGGACAGCGAATCGTAGAGCGAGTCGCTGAGAGACTCTGAGGTCTCCAGCCCTGCGGGGCCCCCGCTGGCCACTCTCCCTTCTTCGCCCATGTCCGACGTGCTGGGGGTGCGGCTACCCCCAAATGCTGGGCCCTGGGGCGCAGCAGCTGGGCGGCTGGGCTCCAGGCTCCGCTTTCGGTCCACCGGCAGAGCCTAGGAAAGGAAGGGAGGCTGGGGAGGAAGCTCCTCTCTCCTCTCAGCCGGCCTGAGAGGCGCCGTCCACCTGATGGGGGCGCTGCAGCTGTGCTGGAGGCACAACTGAGCACAGTCCTACCAGGTTCCCGGAAGGGAGAGAATCCCTTTCCCCAAGAGGGGTGTGAGAAGGCATGGGGGTGTGCTGACCAGAGGGTCATCCAGGCGCTCCTACTCCGGAACAGGGCTGTACCTCACCCCATGTCATTCCCTTCTGCCCTCCAGTGCTGTTCCCTGTCCCCTTCGGCCATGCTCACCATGGGGGTCCTGGGCAACCCCTCCAATTGTCGGGGTGGGCATAGGAAAGGGTCAGAGGAGCCGCTGGCTGCCCTTGCATTGGGGAAGGTCCAGTTCTTGGCCAGCTGGACAGGAGGGGGAGGTGCTGGGTCTTCACAGGGATCTGTCCGGGACAAAGGGAAGGTGGGTGGTAGGTGGAGCTCCCAGAGAGGCCCACCCACCTGCCCAGACACTCACCGTCAGGACAGGTCTGATGGCCCCGGTGGCCCGGAGCAGCGGTGAGCAGGGCAGGGAAGGCCGGCATGCTGGGGTGCCGCCCGCTCACCAGCAGCTCCTCTATGCCAGGCACCTCACGCTCCAGTGTGTGGGCACGGCGAGGGACTTTGGTAAGGGGTGGGGGCCGAGCTGGGGGCACCCCGGGTGAGGGCTCCAGCCGTGGTGGCTTGGTTTTGGGAAGATTCTTGCTGGGGGTCCCAGTGCTGCCATGGTCTGGGGGTGGGAATGTCCCAATGCCACTGTCCAGGGTTCGAGTCAAAGAGCCACAGGCTGGGGAGAAGAGGGTAAATCAGGGATGTGAGGCTGCAGGCGGCTGAGCCCCTCTGCCTTCTTCTAGCTTCCTGCCCCCGCCCAGGCTCCACCCCTGGTTAGGGCCTCTCCTGGCTCCACAGGCTCAGTGGTCCCTGCCTGCCCTGCCCCATTCTGGAGGGGCAGGGCAGTTACCTTATGCAGGGAGTGATTTATTCCTGTGCAGCCCCAGGGCCCACTGGTGCTTGACACCAAGATGGCACTCAGGGCCTGGCACCTGCTGCAGTGACAGGAATAGAGTGAGCAGCGGGTGGGGGCAGGTCCTAGTCTTGGCTCTTTTTTTCTTGGGGGGGGGGAGGGAGGTAATTAGGTTTATTCATTTATTTATTTTTTTTTGGAGGAGGTACTGGGGATTGAACCCAGGACCTTGTGCATGCCAGGCATGCACTCTACCACTTGAGCTATATACCCTCCCCCTAGTCTTGGCTCTTGACCCTGCTGACCTGTGAAGTGTGAAGTGGGCACTGGTTCTGCCAGACTGTCTTCTGAGGGCATCTCTTCCCGCCTCCCTGGCTCACAGCTTGGCTGTACGGGGTACAGGAGATTTCAGAGCCCATTTTCCCTCCACCCTAGTCCCCTCCATTAGGACCCCTGGAGAATGGGTCTGAGAGTCCTGGCAACCTGTAGCCCTCAAGAGGCCTTGTCCCCTCCCCATGCTCCTTGAAGACCAGACATGCATCCAGAAGCTTCCAAGCCCCAGGGAAAGGGAGCCCCCCAGGGAAAGGGAGCCCCCCAGGGAGCAGGAGACCTGGCAGGGCCACAAAGCCAGGCCTTCCACTCAGCCCCTGTCCCAGGACTTACCTTCCCAGGAGATTTTCCGCAGCCTTGAAGAGGGCCCACCAGGCCATTTCGGGGCCCACAGGCTGGCCAAGGGTTCTTGGGGTCAGAGGACACTGGCTGGAAATCACCATACTCAGGTTTGGGCTCCCGCCAACTCTTGGGGGGCAGCTCCTTGCCATCCACCCTAGGGGCAGCAGGGCAGATGGAGGTGAGGGAGGCCCGGGTGCACCCAGACATTCTGGCCTTGCTCCCTTCAATGGTGCTGGGCCTAGTGAGGCACCCTCTGCCCCTAGGTAAGGGGACATATTTCTGGTAGCTGCCCCTATCAACCTCTCCTGACACTGGAACAGGCAGAGACCCCAGGGAAAACCCCAGAGGACCAGCTGGGACAGGGGAGATGGGAGAACTCTCCTGAAGCTACCCAGGGTCAAGCCTAGAGACCTCTTGACAATGTTTGCTGGTAGAGAGCAGACACGGTCACATCCTGGTCCACATGTGACACAGCCTGCCTGCCCCAGCTGAATTTGTGTGCACTTGTCAAAACCACACCCTACCTGGGGCCTGATTCTTGTGGACATTCTGCCTTACCTGACCCAGACAGAGTGACCCTAAGATAGGGTAGCCTCTTCTCTCAACCACAGCTCCCTTTGCTGAGTCTATGGCAGGTGCCAAAGGGCAAGATGGGCAGGGTCCCCTTCTTGTTCTATAAGGCAGAAAACTTTGGAGAGGGAAGACCTTCATCTTCTAACATGGTTAGGTACTAGCATTCCCTTAACTGCTGTACACTGGCACGTAGGCAGGCTGCCTCATCTGACACTGGAGACGATCTCTGAAAATGTAGACTGTTAACTCTTCTCAAATGAGAAACTGGGTCTCAGCAAGTCTAATGTCAGACAGCAGGGAGGAAGGGCACTGGGACACAAACCCCCAGATTCTGGTTCAAGCCCCGGATCTCTCTTCTGGGGCAGGCCATTAATCCCCAGATGCTTTGGGGCCATTTGACCACCGACCCCCTTTGGCCTCTGGGAAGCCCCAGCTCTAGCCTCAGGTGTTCCCATGGAGGGAAAAGTGGCCCCAGCCACTGTCTACCTGCTAACTGGTCGCAGGCTCTCACCTATTGAGCAGCTGCTGCATGAAGGTGTCAGCACCCTGGTACATGCCGGCTAACTGGCCCTGCACCTGCCCCAGGCCTGCACTGGGCCCTGGCGCTGGTCCCCCGGGTCGTGGCCGGGCTCTGCTGCTCAGGTAGGCCTTCTCCTCCTCCAGCGCCCGGCGCAGGTCTTCCGCTTTAGCCATCAGCTTGGAGATGTTGAGGCTCTCAGCCTCCAGCTTCCGGGCTTCCATCTTGACCTCCTTCCGGAGTGGGGAGCCTCCGCTGGCCCCTTCCTTGCCCTTGGTGGCCTCTGTGCGGCGGTTCAGCGCTGGCAACTTGCTCTTCTTAAGGCCGAACCAGCTGGCAATGCTGCTGGTGTTGCGGTGCTTGGCCTCAGTGCCAGGCGCCCGCTCCTGGCCCTGGAGCCGCAGCACATTTTCCTCAATGCCCTTCATCACCTTCTCCTCAATGGCTGAGTGTGGGGCCTGCCCCTCGGGGCCTGGGCTTGGGTCAACAGGGCCAGGTGCTGGGGGTGTGGGCTGGGCTGTGGTGCCACCACAGTCTGCCCAAGGTGGGCCCTTCCCTTTGTCAGGCTTGGGGGGCTCCTTGGTGGCTGGTGGGGCCACAGGTCGGGGTGCCACCTTGGTGGGTGACTTAGAAGGCAGCTTTGTCGGGCTGCCGTGGGGGCTCTTATTGGGCTTGCCGAGACTGGGGGCTGAGGTTGGCACTTTGGCAGGGGTGCGGGGTACTTGGGGGCACAGGGCCCCTGCCAGCCGGCTCTTGGCCAGCTCCACTTTGGTGAGGCAGCTCCTTGGTGAAACAGGCTCCAGGTCTACCCGGGCCCCCATGGAGTGAGAAGAGTAGACTCGGGTCCCAGGGTCCCCCAGGAGCCCTGATTCCTGTTGCTTCAGGCTGCTTGTGCCTAAGGCTACTGCCCCCCGCAGGCCCCCCTTGGCTTCTGGCTGCTCAGGGGGCCTGGAGGTCGGGGGTCCCATGTCTCCGGTGCTCTCCCCTGACCTCCCTGCTCCTCGGGCCTTCTCGGTGCCAGGCCTGGCTGGTACCCCGTTCTTCTCTGGGCCCTGGGGCCCCTCAGGGCCAGTCTTCAGTTTTCCCAGGGCTGCCAGTCTGTCCCGTAGAGGTGTATAGCCAGGATCCCCAGGTCGCCGCCCCACCCCCTGGCCAGGCTTCTTGGAGGAGCTGCCTGGGGTCCTGCGGCCAGGATGGGGAGACTCTGAGCCTACCTTGTCCAAACTCTTTTCCTGACCACTCTCATAGGGACAGGATTCTGGGAGGCAAGGGCTGGAGGGGACTCCAGGGCTTCTGAGGATCTCAGGGGCCCGTGGCACCTCCAGAGTTAGTTGTGGATAGGTGGGCACCTGCAGTGGGGATGGAGGTGGCTCTGGGGAAGGCCCCCTAAAGGTGCTCCGAGAAAGGTCCAAAATGTTCTCGTAGCAAGGAGATACCACTGGTCCTGGGGAAAGTGTAGTGGACAAGGCTGGCTGGGGAGGTCTGAGCTGTGCAGTGTCTGGGGTTGTGGAGCAAGGTGAAGGGCTGGTGGGCAGACCCTGCGCCCCCTCCGGGGACAGCTCTCCTCCACCCAGGCCCCTGCGGGCCAGCAGCGGGGAGGGGCTGCCATCTGAGCCACTGTTCCGACAGGGGATTCGGGAATTCCGAGGGAGTTGGGGACTGAGCTGGGGGCCTCCTGGGCTAGGGACCTTCTCTGAGGCTGGAGGCAGCTTTAGAAATTTGAGACCTCTGGCTGGAGAGGGCAGAAGGGGTCCCTGGGCTTCTCCAGGAGAAGGGGGGCCAATTTGGAGCTTGCTTTTCACCTGAGATGAGGAGTGGGCGTGGCCAGGCCGCGAGCCCAGGGGGGTGTCCCCTGCACCCATGAATACACTGAGGAAGGGGAGGGGCCCCTGGCCCTCTGAGGTAGCACCAAAGCCCGGCCTGTGGGCCTCTGGGGTACCCCCACCCCAGGTTGACTTGGGGAGGCATTTGGACTTGGACAGCTGGGGGGGCCCCTGGTCTGGGGAAGTTGGCTGCCTGTGACCTGGGTGGTCCCCGTTGAGAGGGCAAGCAGCCCCGGCCAAAAAGGCCTGTAGGTAAGACTCTGTGTCCTCGAGGAGCTGGCCTAGGTTCAGCTGTTTGCAGGCCAGGGCCCCGAGCAGGGTGTCGGGGCTGGGTGCCTCATTGGGGTCACCTGCCTCATCAGAAGAGGAGGAGGAGCTGCTGCCTGGGGCACAGGGTGGCCCAGAACTGGTGCCCTGGGCCTGTGGGGAGCCCTGACTAGGGCCCCAGGGCTGTCCAACACCCTCTTCCTCTCCTGGGCCCCCTAAGAGACGCTCCCAGTGCAGCAGGCCTCCCAGGCTACCAGGGCCTAGGAGCAGGTAGGGGGCCCAGGGAGAGGGTTCAGGCTGGGGTGGGCCACACAGCTCGCCGTTGATGGGCTCTGGGAAGCCAGGACCCTCGCTTGGAGGCTGCCAGGGGGTAGCAGGTGAGCAGAGAAGCAAAGGGTCAGTCTCCTCCAGGGCTCTCAGCACCTCCAGGATCTGGGCTTTCTTTCGAAGGAATGGGGATAGGGCATCCAGTGCTGGGGGTGGGGCAGCTGGGGGTCCTGGGCCTCCTGGCCGTAGCTGCTGCTCCCAACACACCTAGGGGAGAAATGGCACGAGGAGGAGACCATGTGCAGTCCTGGGACCTGAGTTGGGCAAAACTGAGTATGTCAGGAACACAGCTGGCCTGGTTTGTCTGTGTCCCCAAAAGGAATTGATAGCTTCTGGGATAGGCCAGCTCAGTTCCCTCAAGAGTCTCTGAGCCCTGGTTACCCCAACTCTTCCTCCTGGTGCACTGGGGGTTGGGTGGGCACCTACCCCTCTTCCTGGTTATCCCAGTGCCACTTCCCACCCCTGTTTGGATCAGCAGGGCTGACCACCTACAATCCTGAGATCTATGTTTGTCCCAGGGGAGGGAGGCCTGTTCATTTTTTAGGCTCCAAAAAGAACACAGAGACTCACAAAGGAGATGTGACGTGGCCAAGTCCTAAGTCAGTCACTGAAGGCAACCCCAGGCCTTCTCAGGTCAGACAGCTGTCCTGTGGAGCTGATCCCCATGGAGAAGGAAACTGGGAATGACTCCACTGCATGCCCTTTCCTGCTTCTGCCCTGCCCCTTCTTAGGCCCAGTCCAGTCTGGTATTGTGGTTAACTACATGGGATCTGGAGCCAGACTGTGTAGGTTCAAGTCCCAGGTACACTGCTTAACTAGTCATGTGACTTTCAGCAAGTTATTTACTCTCTAAGCTTCATTGTATCATCTGCACAACAGAATGGTTATTACATTTAATCTCATAAATTAAGGTAAATGAAACCAGATATGCAAAAGAATGAATAAATAATCATAGTTCTGGGTCTGGATAAATAAATATGTGTAAGATTATTAAATTTATGCCAAAAATTACAAAAAAAAAGATAAATGAGATCCAGGTGTTCAGCACAGTGCCTGGCACAGACAGAGTAAGAGCTAAGGATGTGTTAATCATGAGTCTTACTGCAGTACTAATGCCTTTGGTTGTGAGGCCAGTGGCTTGGGGTGGGATCTATTTTTCTTGGTATGAGGCTGACAGCTAGCTGAGGGCTCACACCCAGTCTGGACAAGAATCTGCATCCAGAAGCAACCTTTCCCCTGGGACTCAAGAGGAAACAGCTGTGAAGCACAAACTAACGAGCCTGGAGCCAGTGAAGCCACAGACCACCGTACCCAGCCCCCCTACCTCTCTCTGCCCAGCACAGCGCCCCAAAGGCAGCAAGGTGGCCGGTCCCTCGGCGGAGCTCAGGGAGGGGGAGGCTGGTGGCTCTGATGGTGGCTGGAGTGGGGTGAGTGGGATCTGCAGGGAAGAGGCGAGGTTAGCAAAGGTCCTGTCTGTCCCAGGTCCCTACTCACTCACGAAGCTATGCTTTCCCATCCAGGGGTTGGGAAATGTTCTTCCAAGTCTGCTCCTTCAGTGATGTCTCCTGGCCCAAGGTGTGGCTTTCACCACTGTCCCACCACTTGATCATAAAAGCCTTGGGAGACCATGGCACAGGCAGACTGAAGAAGCGCACGCAAGCCCAGGAGGCAGGGAGGTGGGGCAGGGCAGATCTAACCTGGGAGTCCACTATGCCTCCAGGACCCTCCACTTTTCTGTGGGGCCTCCTCCCTGATTACAGAGAAGGTGAGCCTTGAGGCCTCTTCCTGTTCTGACCACCTGTGACCCAGCACCCACAAGGATGGCTCAGACTAACAGAACAGGCAGAAAAAAGATGGCGTGAGTTATCACTTCTGTCTCCCCTGACTGGTCGCATGTGAAACCTCTATTCTGAGAATCATGAAAGTAGTATTTAACCATGGGTCACCTCTTTCTTAGTCCCTCAGAGTGTCATTTCCTTCTCCTAGGCATCCTGACTAGAAACAAGTCTGCTTTAACTCTCCTATGGCTCTCATTCTCCACAGCTGTTAAATCCTGTCTCTGGGGCGTCTCTCTGGTCTGTCCATCCGCAGCAGCTCTTTCAGCCAAAGATCCTCACACCCCTGGCCTGGACACTGCTCAGCATTTCAGTCTCCCTGACCTGGCTGGGTGGCTTTTCAATCTCCTGTGCACCAGGCAGCCTAAAGCATCTTTTTCTTTTTCGTCTAAAGCATCTTTGCACTTAAAGCCTCTGCCTGCCCAAGGCCTCTGGAGAGAAGTCTGAACGGCTCTGCCGGTATCTTGGCCGGTTCTTCCTTGACACCGTCCCCAGCTCTGCCTCGCTCACTGCTCTTCACGTATCCTTTGCTCAAGTCCAGCTGAACAGCTCTTTGCTCCCTGGGATTCCCTGATCTGTTCCTTCCACAGGGAATCCCTTCTCTCCAATCCCTACTCTACTCTTTTTAAGTCTCCCATCCTTCAGGGCCCAGGACCGACGTCACCTCTTCAAGGGCTCCCCAGCCCATCTCTGACGGCCTCTCTCCCCTCTGGGCTCTTGGATAGCACTGTCCCGCTTGTGCCCTGCCTTACTGCCCAGCTCTCAGGGGTTACGTTCGTTCTGCATGGGCCACAGCCCTGTCTGATGTCACACGTGCTGGCAAAGGCACTGCTCACAACAATAGCTTCATGAGCATTTGCTTCAGTGGAGCTTCCATCCCAGCAAAGCACAACTTGGGAATAAGATTAATAATGATAACTAGCTGCCAATTATTGACTGTGAACCAAGCACTAGATATTCCTCACAACAACCTGCACTATAGGTATTTTTATCCCCATTTATAACCATACTGGTTTGTATGGTTAAATAATTTACCCAAGGTCACACAGCTAAGAATTAGCTAAGTTAGGGACCCAACCCAAGTTTATCTGAGGCCAAGTTTCGTGCTCTTTCCATTATGTCATGTTACTTCTGGGGAAGATAAATCTATTGCCCCAAAGACCCAGATTCATTTAAAAATCCCAATTCAAATCCCAGAATTCATTTAAGTAAAAAAGAAATGATTTATGGATGATCTACACCTCTGTTATCATCAGTCACTGAGAAGGGTATGGATGGGGCAAGCCTGGCCAGTGTGGTTAGGCCTCTAGGTATTCCTGGGTAAACCCTATGGCAGGGACAGACCCAGGGCAAGGGCAGCCGCAGAGTCATGGCCACTGATCCACCCAGGTCTGCACCGGCCTAGTGAGACGGGCTGTAAAAAGGCCATGGTGGTGAGAGCGTTCCTCTGCCAGGGGTCAGGCTTCCCAGGGAGCTGAGGGCTTCCTACTCAGGGTCTGGGGGCCAAGAGCTGCCTGGTTTGCATTCCAGACACACAAATTCAGATGCACACACAGAAGGTGTTTCTCGTCAAGATGGGGGTGGCTGGCTGACCTCAGAACCCACTGTTCACCTTGGGAACCTAGAGATGCTCCTGATCCCCCCAGGTGTCACCCTACCCTTGGGGCTTCCTGACAGAGTGGACCCCAAAGGACATCTTCACTGAGCCCAGGATTCCCTCCCAACAGCCTCCTGCTTCTCCTGAGTGAGGCAGGTGTCAGGGCTAGAAGCAAGGACCGGCATCTGTAGCCATGCTGTTGTCAGTGGTGGACATAAGCAACTAGGTGTGACACAGTCATCTGGGTAAAGTGCCTTTCCTGACCTCTCTGTGACACCAAGCAGGGGTGCCTTACACCCTCCCCACCCCTGCCCCTGGCCAAGAAGAGGCAAGGCAGTGGCCAAAGGGGCCCCTTGGGAGATTGAAATGACTGCATTTTGAGCCTCCACCCATCTCCCCACACAGGGCGGAGCAAGCCAGGACCTCCTCTGTCAACAAGAAAGGATACCATCCAGCTGGGCGGGGAGCACCTGGGAGGTGGGGGACAGCAAAGCTTAAGGAGACTCAGGAAGTTTTCCCCCCATCTAAGGCTCAGATCTATCAGGCTAAGTGGGACTGCCCTGGATGGCCACAGCCCCCAGAATGGAGGGGAATGGCTGATGGCCTGCTTCTGTAGGATTCTGGGAGAAAAGAGGATGATAATGATGATGGGGTTAGTAGGAGGCAGGAAGCTGAGATATGAGGAAGGACGGAGAATCACTTGTGCCCACCTGAGGGAGGGAGCCTGCTGTGAGCTGGAGTTTCTGCTGAAATAGGGCGCTCAGCATCTGGTTCTGCCGTTCCAGGTCAAACACCCTCTTCTTCAGCTTGATGCACTCCTCCCGCAGGTCCTGCCGCCCGCCCGCCCAGAAGGGAGCAGAAGGAGAGGATGGTGGGGAGAGGGAGAGTACGTGAGCACAGTCGCTTTCATCAGAGTGGCGGGCACTCCTGCTGGGCATGCCCTTTTCTTGCAACCTTCTTCTATGAGGGAGCTGAGCTTGCCCACATTTATGGCTATCACATCTTGCAGGGTAAATTTTCTAAAGTCTACCACCCATGGTTGGAGGTAATTCCATTCTCTGTGGCAACTTTCCCATCCCTGGAGCCAAGCCCCTGCCTCTTGGAAACCACAAGTCAAAGAAGGGCCCATTTAAGGCAGAGGAAGACCTGGGGGTCAGAGTGGCCCATGTGTCAAAAAGTTTTTGCAACATTACTATCAGGGCCATCACAACCTGGAGAAACTAGCTGGGGCCAGGAAAATGGAAGGATTCAAGTCCAAATCAAATTTATCATAGCTTAGAGACCTGGCCTTACCTAGCTCACCCGTGGCTCCAGGTAGAACAGTATGGACTGCCCAAAACAGAGAAAGGGGACTTCGTTGGAGGACCATGAGGCCATTTCCACCAGCTCCCTCCTCTATGCCCTAGCTGAGCAGGCTCAGGGGGTCCCAGGAAGTTCTTCTCCTACTGTACCCAGGGCCTCCTCCCAGGGTGTCTGGGCCTACGGGTGAGAATGTCTCCTGTGGATTTTTACCTTTTGGTTCAGCAGCGCCTGTACCACGTGATTGGCCACCTGGGGACAGAAAGCCCCGAGGCAGAGCTGAGGAAGAGCTGTCAGCCAACCCAGCCTCTGCCTGGAGCAGACAAGCAATCCTCCCTGCAACCCAAGCTTCAGTCCCACAGACCTCATCCAGACAGCGCTCATACGTCTCCCGCTGGTTTTCGTTGGCCTGGGCAAGTGCTGAGTTCTCTGCCTGCAGAAGGGATGGGGAAGGCACATAGGAAGCTAAGGGATCATCCTTCCCCAGTGCAAACTCCTCTTGGGAAAGGGGAGGCAAGGAGTCTACTAGCTACATCCCTGCCCCAGCTCTTGGCTCTGGTCTGTTTCTGCCAGGGAGAGGCCTGCGAAGATAGACCAAGGGCATCAAGAAGGCAGAGCTGAGATGGCTGTTTTTTTGTTACCCCAACTTCAGTCAATGAGGTTGGAGAGGCTGGCCAGGAGGACCTAATGTGGGAGGTGCTGAAAGTAACCCTTATTTCCCTGGGAAGAAGGCAGAGGAGGCTGGAGGGAGAGGGGGCAGTGTCTTAAGAGTATGGTAAAGGGATCCATGTCCTCGTCCCTCAACTCCTGAGAGTCTTCTTCCTGTCGCCTCTGTGACCCATACCTTGCCTAGAGGTGCATGGGCATGAAAGCAGGGGAGAAACAGGATAAAGAAGAAAGACACTTTGGGGGTTAGGACAGCTCCACCCTTGTGCATGCCTCTTGTCCTGAGCTGGCACTCGGGCTGGATTGCTAAGAGCAAGGAAACGGCTTCTCAGAGGGGCTCTGCTAAAGAAACATTCAGCTCTGCTCCAGCCTGGCAAAGCGGGCTAAGAGGAAGGTCCACCCACACCCAGAACCCATATCAAGCCCCCCAGAGCTCTGGCCAGCACTGTTGCCCCCGTCCTGGCCTGTGCCCCACCTCCAGCTCCCGCAGCCGGTGCAGGAGCTCTTGGCAGGTACCCGGCTCCATGCTGCCATCACCACCCTCTCCTGGCTTCGGGTTTCCAGGACTCCCAGCAGGCTGGTCCATGGCCTCCGACATCAGGCCCTGGGGACAAGTGAGAGAAGCCCTGGCAGGCTACTCCAGGGCACAAGGAGGTGAGCAAGGACAGAGATGAAACTTGTCAGTGTTCTCAGAGTTTGCAGCAGTGTGACCGATGTGCCAAAGACACTGTAACAACTCAGGGTCAGGCTAAGACTCCTGCTCAAGGGACAGACACACAAGGACTCTTCCCATCTCAAGAACAGAGACCATTGTTTTATAAACCCCTATAATTGCCCTCACCCTATCACGGGTCACACAGAACTGGCCAGAAGCCAAGAAACCTGAATTCTCCACTGAGGTTGACCTCAAATTGGCACCCTGTATCCTCCTGCGGAGAGTAGGAGGCAGCCTGCATGCCTCCAAGGATCCCATCTTCCACGAGGCCCCAGGGGACAAGCCTCTTTGTGCACGCCGGGCCCTCTGCAGAGTCTCTTGATACCCACTCACTCTGCTTCCACCTGGCCAGCTCCTTCCTATTCATTCTTCAGGGCCCCCGCTCTAAGGCTGGATCAGGAACCACTCCTGCCTGGTTCTGTAACTGTCCCCCCCAGACTATCAAACTGCAAGGGCAGGATATTGTCTTTATTTCACGGTCTAGACTCACACTTCTTGGTGTGATACCTGGAGTGTCACAGACAGATGACTGAACAGACTAGTTTGTCACTGTCTGAACACAACAGAGCCAAGGTTCTGACGTGGATCGTGTTATGTGATCCCCCTCACCTCAAACTGTTGCCACAGTTCCTGGCTTATCTGACTAGTCTTCATCTTCCATTTAAGTTTCAATTTCTCAGCTAGAGAAAAGTACTCATTTCCTTCCTCTGCACACACATTGTACAAATTTCCAATAGATGGGAAGCCCTTCCTAATGTAAAAGGGTGGAGGCCCCCAGTCTACCAACTACTTGCCTCCCTGACCCAGTGAAGCTCCCACAAAAAGGGCTTAGTTAGTTAGCAATTTTGGACCAAGGAAGCGAGGAGCCCTCGGCAGCTCATGAATCAGGTACCTGAACGTTCTCCCCTCAGTGGGGCAGAGGGGCTGCCTGTCCCACCCCCAGCCCTCCTCCTCCAGCCCCCATCACCAGCACACATGGGCTCCAAAGCCCCTCACCTGTCTCTGTTTCCTCACCCAGGCTGGCACACGCACTCTAGCAGCCAGAATGGTCACCTTGCCTGTGGAGACAGAGAGAGAGAGAGAGAGACAATGTCAGCTGCGCATTCCACCAGCATTTACTGGGCTCCTGCTGCATGGCATCCTGGGCCCCAGGGATGAACAAGCCAAAATGATGAAGCTTTCATTCTACTGGGGGAGGCAGGTAGTATCAGATAAACCAATGAACATACATCAGGCCCAGAGAAGGCACTGAGAGGTGATAGCAAGGTATGGACCTGAATGAAGGCTGGATGGAATCCTGAAGTGGGAAAAGCATTCCAGGCAGAGGAAAGAGCCAGAGCAAGGGTCCTCCTCAGCTCTCAGCCAGACAGGAATGAACAGCAACTCAGTCCTTCCACAACACACACTGTCATCTTTAATCCTCACTGCCACAAAGGGAATTAAATGCTACTAGCAACACCTATATTTGAGATGAAGAAAGCGAGGCACAGGAAGCTACACTCACACACCCAGAGTGTGTGCTGTGTGCTGGCACTTTCCATGCACCACTGAGTGCACCTGATTCTCCTATTGACCTTTCAAGGGGAGTGCCAACCTGGGTGAGGATGCAGGCTCCAGAGGCATAGGATGCTGCCCAAATCATATGGCTGGTTCACAAAGCACGCTGGACAGGCCTGGATGACCCCTTCCTGTGTGGCCTCTCTACACACATGTTGTACTGCATCTCTGTACAGTTAGTCCCAGTGCTCCTGGAGCTTTGCGGTTGGATAGATCTGGATTAGAATCTGACTATGCAAAATTTGTTTCCTCACCTGTCTAATAAGGGTAAGAATACTTAGCCCATAGGGTTGTTGGAGGATGAAGTGAAATAATGCATGTAGAGTGTCTTGCAGGGACTCAATAAGTGGAGGTTTTTCACATTTCAGAGCCTGCTGCTACTCCAGCTGTTCACCTGCAAGCTGACCCTGAGTCCCAAGCCCCTCACCCTGGGGTCCTAAGAGGAGGGGCTCCTGATGATCTGAGGTGCTGTCCCACTGCCTGGCCCTCAGGGGCCACCTCCTCTCCAATCCCCTCCCTGCCAGCCTTCATTCTTCTCTGCCAGATACCCCAGAAAGAGAAAGGGTAACAATGAAGGAGAGAATGCTTCTTCTGGGGAGTGGGGAGATGTGTGCACAACAGTGGGAAGGGGGCTTCTGAAAAACTTGGTAAAAAGGGAAAACTGTGTAATATTTATTTTTAACACTCCACCACAATCCAAAGTCCTTTGTTATTTTAACATTATAAAAATGTATCAAGTATAACTTTGCTTATAACATTATCTTGCTCGGTATATTTAGAAATGCACAGGCCTAGAAAAAAAAATTCAAGAAAAATACTCCCTCCCACAAACACAAATAGGGGTTAAAACCAAGAAAGGCCTCGAGTTACCTCACCACTGGACCAGTTCCAGCCCACCCCACAACGCTCATCTCGGGGCTACCATCCTCTTGCTAGGCGGAGGCTCCCACTGCTGTAGGCAAGGCCTGTGCCCACGGATCACCAGCGTTATTTCCAGGTGGACACCTCCAGGACTAGAAGGGCGGGGTGCGGGGGCATCTTGGGGAGTGTGAGAAAAAACACTGGGAGGGTGAAGGAAGGGACTGGGATGAATAGGGCAGCGTCCGGGAGCCAAAAAAGGGAAGGATTAAAGCAGGAGAAACCCCAAATCTTTGTGTTCATTATACAACAACAAAAACTAAACTAAGGGTGAAGGTGGTTCAGGAGAATATCTTCTCCTAAAAAAACAGAAATTTAAAAAAAAGAAGTATCCAGGGTAGGCTTGAGGCCCAGATTGCAGGGGCTGGCTGTGCAGGATATATGTGTGATTTTGTGCGTGTTGAGGAGGGCAGGGACCCAATACACCCCCAAAAGTCAACTGCTGCCACTCTCCTGATCGGAGCCCCTGAGGATCGCAGGACAGGGAAGCCTGAGCCCCACTGTGACCTGAAGGTGACCCTCCAAGTGACAAGCCACCCAAGAGCAACAGCTCTGTCATGTGGGTCAGGCTGTGTATCACGAGCGGGCCCAGGAGAGGTTCCAGGAGTGCTGGCTGAAGGGAGGCTGTGACTCAGCTCCATTTTGGGGAGAAGTTTTCTGCCCTCAGCTGAAGTGAGTGGTCTGGCCAACTCAGGACGACCAGCCCTCTCTGTTTGCAGGGCCACAGGCAGGGGGCAGGAAGCCGTCAGCCAGGATTGTTGAGTCACTTGGAAGAGGCCTGCATTTAAACTCGGCGCTAGGGAGGAGGGCCACTGTGAGTAGGGTGAGTTTGAGCACAAGATTTCTATGGTGAAAAAAAAAACTTCCTGTATCTTTACCCTCCTCTAGGGAATATTAAAATCCAGAGAGATAATACCACCTCCAGCTCCCAATCTGAGCCCAATTATGAATTTGGCCCTTCAGAGTCTGGGTTTTAGACATAAATCTCATGAGGGAAAAAAAAACACCCGAGTGTTCCCCAGCGGCTGTCCCTGCTGGGTGTCAGTGAGGCCCCTCTCCCCAGGGGGCTGCGCATCCTCCTCTTTCCTCAGGCCCCTCAACTACTACTCACGTCTTCTGTGTTCAGCCCCACCCTGGGCCCAGGAAAACCCCCAGCCTGGGCTTTTCAGGATGGCCCTGGTTTCAAACATTCCTCTGGTGGTCCCACAACATATCCCGGATGTTGGATGTGGGTCTGGAACACATGATGCTGGCCAGGATGAGTAGGGATGGAGCTGCAGTGGGTGGGAGCTCAGAACTTGAAGCGGGAGGCTTCTCCCGCCAGAACTGCCAACGGGCAACCCCGCCCCTGACAAAGGCCTGATTCAGAGGGAGGTGACCTCAGTGCTGAGGGGAGGGAGGAAGAGGAAGGGAGGTAGAGCAGAGCCTCTCTGGCCCTCCTTCAGAGGAGACAGGGAAGAGGGAACAGCTGCTCAGGGGTCTCTGGGTGACAGGGGACAGGGACGAGGCTGGTTCAGCCCAATCACTGAGTGAATCCAGGTGACCACTATCTCTACAGCCTAGTCAGTCATGCAGGAGCCCAGAAGAGATCGGCTTGTCCTGGCCTTTCAGTCGGTGAGATCAAAGGAGTGGAGCCTGCTGCTCCCACCCCCTCCCCAGCCAGGGCACAGGCAAGACCCCACCCTAAACTCAGAGTCCAGGCCTGGGAGGATGGGGCCAGAGAGATGGCAGCAAGCCTGTCCTCCAGGCTCCCTTACTCTGGCCCTTAGCCAAGGACTCGGGCCCTGAGGAGCCCCTCACTCACAAGCTGTTCCCCCCAGAGTCCTCTAGGGAGTAAAGCTAGAGGCCAGGAGATGGGGGAGGGGTGGGCAGCTGTGGGAAGGCAAAGACCGAGCTCACTTTAATAACAGAATCATCCGTAACACCAACCGTTTCTCCCTCTGCTCCCCCCACCCCCCAGCTGCTTTCTGGAATCTCCGTCACACCCAAGAGTCCACTTGTAAACAGCAACTTCTGCACCCACAGCAAACACTCCTTTCCAGACAAGATCAGCCCTGGGCCGGGGTAGGGTGTGGGGAAGAAAATAAGGACTGAGGCACCAGGGCATTCCTAGCCTGAAAGTGGCCACCTTAATCTTGCCTAAGGCACCTTTTAGTCCTAAGTATTCCAAATGGTCTCCTCCCTCCTCAGGGAAAGAGGCAGACAAGAATTTCCTTCCCTCCTCCTGACAACTGGCCCCACAACACAATAGCCCTTCTGAGAGGCCTGTGTCCATGGGGAAGGGGCCCACTACATCCCTCCTCCAACTTCCTCTTTAGAGGCACTCCAAGAGCCTTCAGACCTTGGTGTAGGTTCTTTTGAACCGATGGTAAGATCAGTTCCTGCCCTTCTAGGCAGCGCAGGAGGGAAGGGCAGTAATGTTACAAGTCCAAAAGGCCTACAGATTTCAACACCTCTTATCTCTCCTCCCCTGATTCTTCATGTTCCCTGTCCACAGCATAACCCAACAATAATAAAAGCAGCTGCTGGGGGTGGGGAGAGGGAAGGGGCTCTGACACAGACACAATGGGTTTATTTATAGGGCCACACGCCAGGGGCTCTGTAGCCAAGAAGCCTAGGCCACACTCCCAAAAGCCCAGCTGGGCCCATCCTAGCCCAGCCAAGGGTACTGGAAAAAGCCTCAGACCAGAAGGCAGAAGGTTGATAGTCCCAATATAACTTATTTACTATGTGACTTTAGACAAATCACTCAGTTTCTCAGGGACAAGTTTCTTCACTCCAAGTAGAGGCCTTTCTAAAACAGTGGTTCCAAGGGTGGTTCAAAGACCCTGAGATCCTTTCAAGGAATCCATAGGGTCAAAACTGTTTCCATAATACCACTAAGACATTATTTGCCTTTTTAACTCTCATTCTCTCAAGAGTATATAGTGGCATTTTCCAGAGACACGTGACAACATGACAGATTGAATACAGAAGCAGATAATGAGAATCCAGCTGCCTTCTATTGAGTTAGACATTACAGATTTGCAAAAATGAAGGACAATGCTTTTACTATTTTTTCTGCTTTGGAAAATATATAATTATTTTTCATAAAATCTGTTAATATGTAATAGGTTTATTGTTATTTTAAATGACTTAAATAAATGTCGGAAAACTTTCAGTTCTAATTTATATTTCAGTAAATGTCAATAGGTGTAACCCATATGAACCAAAGCTCTTTGGGGAGAAAAAAAGCTCTTTGGAGTCTTCAATTTTTAAGAGCGTAGAGGGGTCCTTAGACCAAATAGTTTGAAAAGAATCACTTTTCTAGAACAGTGCTGCCCAGGAGAACTTTCTGCAATGATGAAAATGTTTATTCTGTGCTTTCCAATATGGTAGCCACCAGCCACACATGGCTACTGAGAATTTGAAATGTGGCTGGTGCAACTGAAAAACTGAATTATAAATAATTTTTTTATTTAA